CTATCACTGCGGTGTTCCAGACATTACATGATACTGCATCTGTTGGTACGACTTCAAAATTAAACGCAAAAGAGTACAGATATCATAAGAGTTGAATCATATAATGATATAGTTTGGTCCCTTTGTTCGCTCTCCAGACACCTGAGGCGCGTAACGCCCATATATCACGGGGGGACGCGAGAAAACTTGCGGACGGTAAACGAATACCTGCAATTTTGTGGTGTCCCGGTGGACGGTGACAAAGGCGATGCCCGCCTCTCGAGTGGTAGGCATGTAACACGTATGCTTGTTGTCGTGTAGTTCCGACATTTGCCTGCTTTTACACGGCGTAACACTCAGACAACACAGACAGCCCTAGACTTTTTATCTCATTTACCATTCTGTAAGTATCCAGTCTCATTTTCACGAAACAGAATGTGATTTTTCGCTATAATTTTCTGTATCAGTCTTCTAAATTACATTTTTCAAACGTGTTAGGCCCGATCTGATTGAGTTAGATATAGAAAGACCAAAACAAATTGACTGAAATCCAGGAAGTTTAGAATCTATACCTCTTTTTATGAAAGTGTTACCCGTGGCGCAGGTCCGTCGTCCGGCATCATTTTTTTCCTTTCAACAACTTCTTCACAATATCCAGTGGACCAAATGTTTTGATGTTTGGCTGGTATGCTCCTAGGATGAAGCCTGACAAGATTTGTAAAAAGAAATTACCTTGACCTATATTCAAGGTAACAGGGGTCATATATGTCAAAAACCTATAAACGACGTCTCCTCGTGAACTAAAAAGCCTAGAGGAATGATATTTGACTGATATGTTTCTAGGATGAAACCCAACAATTTTGCTAAAAGAAATGACCATGACTTATATTCAAGGTCATAGGGTTCAAATTTGTTAAAAACATTTAACAACTTCTACTTATGAATTAATAGACCTAGAGGCATGATATTTGGCTAATATATATATATATATATATACCAGGTGAGTGAGCGCTGCAGACCCATTGAACCTCTGGTTTGAAGTATATAAACTATTTACCTATTGGTTATTAATATTGGTTACTATTTTACCTGTCAATCATCCAAGACGATTTTGTTATACTTCATAAAACAAAACTTTAGAAGCTCCTGTACATGACATGATCGTTTATCGTCAAACAAACTTTGCAATTACCATTACACTACTCATGAAAGTAGAATTAAAAACACAAAAAGTAAAACACCTGTCAGCATAATCATAGTCAAGCTAAAATTCAATAAAAATAGCGAGAAGTATATACAAAAGAAAGATTTACACAGAAATTCACGGAAAATTAAAAAATACAAGAAGAAGACCAGGTGTCCCGGAAGCGTCTTCTGCTTCATCGATGGCACACGCCATGTAAACATTGGTCAATTTAGGTAAGTAATGTCATGTGCTCATATGAGAACAAGCATACAACAATGAAACCAACATGCAAACTAACGAGCGTCAAACACGTTCTAATAAAAAGAAATAGAAATTTCTCATTGAGTTCAACGCTAACATCCCCAGTAACACAAACTTACAGTCCCAGTAACACAAACTTACAGCCCCAGTAACACAAGCTTACAGCTCCAGTAACACAAACTTACAGCTCCAGTAACACAAGCTTACAGCCCCAGTAACACAAACTTACAGCTCCAGTAACACAAACTTACAGCTCCAGTAACACAAGCTTACAGCCCCAGTAACACAAGCTTACAGCCCCAGTAACACAAACTTACAGCCCCAGTAACACAAGCTTACAGCCCCAGTAACACAAGCTTACAGCCCCAGTAACACAAGCTTACAGCCCCAGTAACACAAGCTTACAGCCCCAGTAACACAAACTTACAGTCCCAGTAACACAAGCTTACAGCCACAAACTTACAGCCCCAGTAACACAAGCTTACAGTCCCAGTAACACAAGCTTACAGCCCCAGTAACACAAACTTACAGTCCCAGTAACACAAGCTTACAGTCCCAGTAACACAAACTTACATCCCCAGTAACACAAACTTACAGCTAACACAAGCTTACAGCCCCTGTAACACAAACTTACAGCCCCAGTAACACAAGCTTACAGCCCCAGTAACACAAACTTACAGCCCCAGTAACACAAGCTTACAGCCCCAGTAACACAAACTTACAGCCCCAGTAACACAAGCTAACACAAACTACAGCCCCAGTAACACAAGCTTACAGCCCCAGTAACACAAGCTTACATCCCCAGTAACACAAACTTACAGCCCCAGTAACACAAGCTTACAGCCCCAGTAACACAAACTTACAGCCCCAGTAACACAAACTTACAGCCCCAGTAACACAAACTTACAGCCCCAGTAACACAAACTTACAGCCCCAGTAACACAAGCTTACAGTCCCAGTATCACAAGCTTACAGCTCCAGTAACACAAACTTACAGTCCCAGTAACACAAACTTACATCCCCAGTAACACAAACTTACAGCCCCAGTAACACAAGCTTACAGCCCCAGTAACACAAACTTACAGCCCCAGTAACACAAACTTACAGCCCCAGTAACACAAACTTACAGCCCCAGTAACACAAGCTTACAGCTCCAGTAACACAAACTTACAGCCCCAGTAACACAAGCTTACAGCCCCAGTAACACAAGCTTACAGCCCCAGTAACACAAGCTTACAGCCCCAGTAACACAAGCTTACAGCCCCAGTAACACAAGCTTACAGCCCCAGTAACACAAACTTACAGCCCCAGTAACACAAACTTACAGCCCCAGTAACACAAGCTTACAGCCCCAGTAACACAAGCTTACAGCTCCAGTAACACAAGCTTACAGCTCCAGTAACACAAGCTTACAGCCCCAGTAACACAAACTTACAGCCCCAGTAACCAGCCCCAGTAACACAAGTTTACAGCCCCAGTAACACAAACTTACAGCTCCAGTAACACAAGCTTACAGCCCCAGTAACACAAGCTTACAGCTCCAGTAACACAAGCTTACAGCCCCAGTAACACAAGCTTACAGCCCCAGTAACACAAGCTTACAGCCCCAGTAACACAAGCTTACAGTCCCAGTAACACAAGCTTACAGCTCCAGTAACACAAGCTTACAGTCCCAGTAACACAAGCTTACAGCTCCAGTAACACATACTTACAGCTCCAGTAACACAAACTTACAGCCCCAGTAACACAAGTTTACAGCCCCAGTAACACAAGCTTACAGCTCCAGTAACACAAACTTACAGCTCCAGTAACACAAGCTTACAGCTCCAGTAACACAAGCTTACAGCCCCAGTAACACAAGCTTACAGCCCCAGTAACACAAACTTACATCCCCAGTAACACAAACTTACAGCTCCAGTAACACAAACTTACAGCTCCAGTAACACAAACTTACAGCCCCAGTAACACAAGCTTACAGCTCCAGTAACACAAGCTTACAGCCCCTGTAACACAAGCTTACAGCCCCAGTAACACATACTTACAGCTCCAGTAACACAAGCTTACAGCCCCTATAACACACGTGAACAACCCCTTACAGAAACACAAATGTACGCTTAAAATATGACCGCTAAGTCTCAACGTTATCGGATGAACCAAGATAGACAACTCTCTCATGTACTGCCGTGCTAAAGATTTCGTGTAAGAAATGGGGAAAACGGAAACATTCCTCCAAAATAGAAAATCGAAACCATCCATAATTATCCCCTAGTTATAATTTGATAAATATTTGTAGGAAATTCTGTTGCAAGATACAACTCGTCCAAACCCATAGGTTATCAAACAAATTGAAAAAAAAAACGAATAAAATTGGTAATAAAAGAAAAAAAACAGTGGATATAATTCGGTCTTAGTCTATCTAATAGCCTAATATTGTGGACGAGAGATATTCTGCAACAGAAATTCCTACAATTATTTATAGCCAATTATTCTGTATGGGTTCGAGTTTTTGATCTGACGCATATTTCTGGTTCACCACTGCGTCCACTCAGGCAGTAGATGCAAGAGTTGTCTCTCTTCGTTCACCGATAACATTAGGGCTAAATGTTCATAATGCTAACGATCGATCATGTTACAGACAGGATTAGTTAGCATGTGTAGTTTAGCGGTCGTTAGCTATATTACTGGGTTGTAATATGATAACACTGTTGGTAGCTTGTGTTACAGGGTTGTTAGCTTGTGTTACAGGGTTGTTAGCTTGTGTTACAGGGTTGTTAGCTTGTGTTACAGGGTTGAAAGCTTGTGTAACACTTTTGTTAGCTTGTGTTACAGAGATGTTAGCTTGTGTTACAGGGTTGTTAGGTTGTGTTACAGCGATGTTAGCTTGTGTTACAGGGTTGTTAGCTTGTGTTACAGGGTTGTTAGCTTGTGTTACAGAGATGTTAGCTTGTGTTACAGGGTTGTTAGCTTGTGTTACAGGGTTGTTAGCTTGTGTTACAGGGTTGTTAGCTTGTGTTACAGAGATGTTAGCTTGTGTTACAGAGATGTTAGCTTGTGTTACAGGGTTGTTAGGTTGTGTTACAGGGTTGTTAGCTTGTGTTACAGGGTTGTTAGCTTGTGTTACAGGGTTGTTAGCTTGTGTTACAGGGTTGTTAGCTTGTGTTACAGAGATGTTAGCTTGTGTTACAGAGATGTTAGCTTGTGTTACAGGGTTGTTAGCTTGTGTTACAGAGATGTTAGCTTGTGTTACAGGGTTGTTAGCTTGTGTTACAGAGATGTTAGCTTGTGTTACAGAGATGTTAGCTTGTGTTACAGGGTTGTTAGCTTGTGTTACAGGGTTGTTAGCTTGTGTTACAGGGTTGTTAGCTTGTGTTACAGAGATGTTAGCTTGTGTTACAGAGATGTTAGCTTGTGTTACAGGGTTGTTAGCTTGTGTTACAGGGATGTTAGCTTGTGTTACAGGGTTGTTAGCTTGTGTTACAGGGTTGTTAGCTTGTGTTACAGAGATGTTAGCTTGTGTTACAGGGTTGTTAGCTTGTGTTACAGGGATGTTAGCTTGTGTTACAGGGTTGTTAGCTTATGTTACAGAGATGTTAGCTTGTGTTACAGGGTTGTTAGCTTGTGTTACAGGGTTGTTAGCTTGTGTTACAGGGTTGTTAGCTTGTGTTACAGAGATGTTAGCTTGTGTTACAGAGATGTTAGCTTGTGTTACAGAGATGTTAGCTTGTGTTACAGGGTTGTTAGCTTGTGTTACAGGGTTGTTAGCTTGTGTTACAGGGTTGTTAGCTTGTGTTACAGGGTTGTTAGCTTGTGTTACAGAGATGTTAGCTTGTGTTACAGAGATGTTAGCTTGTGTTACAGAGATGTTAGCTTGTGTTACAGAGATGTTAGCTTGTGTTACAGGGTTGTTAGCTTGTGTTACAGGGTTGTTAGCTTGTGTTACAGAGATGTTAGCTTGTGTTACAGGGTTGTTAGCTTGTGTTACAGGGTTGTTAGCTTGTGTTACAGAGATGTTAACTTGTGTTACAGGGTTGTTAGCTTGTGTTACAGAGATGTTAGCTTGTGTTACAGAGATGTTAGCTTGTGTTACAGGGTTGTTAGCTTGTGTTACAGAGATGTTAGCTTGTGTTACAGGGTTGTTAGCTTGTGTTACAGGGTTGTTAGCTTGTGTTACAGGGTTGTTAGGTTGTGTTACAGGGTTGTTAGCTTGTGTTACAGAGATGTTAGCTTGTGTTACAGGGTTGTTAGCTTGTGTTACAGAGATGTTAGCTTGTGTTACACTGTTGTTAGCTTGTGTTACACTGTTGTTAGCTTGTGTTACAGAGATGTTAGCTTGTGTTACAGGGTTGTTAGTTTGTGTTACAGAGATGTTAGCTTGTGTTACAGAGATGTTAGCTTGTGTTACAGGGTTGTTAGCTTGTGTTACAGGGTTGTTAGCTTGTGTTACAGGGTTGTTAGCTTGTGTTACAGGGTTGTTAGCTTGTGTTACACGGTTGTAGTGAGCATAAGCTTGTGTTACGTGGAAGCTTCCGATATAAACATTGTCACAGGTGTTATTCATTTACAGGAGATATCTAGAGGAGTGATTGTCTCAATACAGAGATATGTAGAGGAGGGTTGTGATTGTTCCATTACAGAGATATCTAGAGGAGGGTTGTGATTGTTCCATTACAGAGATAACTAGAGGAGGGTTGTGATTGTTCCATTACAGAGATATAGAGGAGGGTTGTGATTGTTCCATTACAGAGATATCTAGAGGAGGGTTGTGATTGTTCCATTACAGAGATATCTAGAGGAGGGTTGTGATTGTTCCATTACAGAGATAACTAGAGGAGGGTTGTGATTGTTCCATTACAGATATATCTAGAGGAGGGTTGTGATTGTTCCATTACAGAGATATAGAGGAGGGTTGTGATTGTTCCATTACAGAGATATCTAGAGGAGGGTTGTGATTGTTCCATTACAGAGATATCTAGAGGAGGGTTGTGATTGTTCCATTACAGAGATATCTAGAGGAGGGTTGTGATTGTTCCATTACAGAGATATTGTTCCATTACAGAGATATGGATTGTTCCATTACAGAGATTGTGATTGTTCCATTACAGAGATATCTAGAGGAGGGTTGTGATTGTTCCATTACAGAGATATCTAGAGGAGGGTTGTGATTGTTCCATTACAGAGATATCTAGAGGAGGGTTGTGATTGTTCCATTACAGAGATATCTAGAGGAGGGTTGTGATTGTTCCATTACAGAGATATCTAGAGGAGGGTTGTGATTGTTCCATTACAGAGATATCTAGAGGAGGGTTGTGATTGTTCCATTACAGAGATATCTAGAGGAGGGTTGTGATTGTTCCATTACAGAGATATCTAGAGGAGGGTTGTGATTGTTCCATTACAGAGATATCTAGAGGAGGGTTGTGATTGTTCCATTACAGATATATCTAGAGGAGGGTTGTGATTGTTCCATTACAGAGATATCTAGAGGAGGGTTGTGATTGTTCCATTACAGAGATATCTAGAGGAGGGTTGTGATTGTTCCATTACAGAGATATCTAGAGGAGGGTTGTGATTGTTCCATTACAGAGATATAGAGGAGGGTTGTGATTGTTCCATTACAGAGATATAGAGGAGGGTTGTGATTGTTCCATTACAGAGATATAGAGGAGGGTTGTGATTGTTCCATTACAGAGATATAGAGGAGGGTTGTGATTGTTCCATTACAGAGATATAGAGGAGGGTTGTGATTGTTCCATTACAGAGATATAGAGGAGGGTTGTGATTGTTCCATTACAGAGATATCTAGAGGAGGGTTGTGATTGTTCCATTACAGATATCTAGAGGAGGGTTGTGATTGTTCCATTACAGATATCTAGAGGAGGGTTGTGATTGTTCCATTACACAGATATCTAGAGGAGGGTTGTGATTGTTCCATTACAGAGATATCTAGAGGAGGGTTGTGATTGTTCCATTACACAGATATCTAGAGGAGGGTTGTGATTGTTCCATTACAGAGATATCTAGAGGAGGGTTGTGATTGTTCCATTACAGATATCTAGAGGAGGGTTGTGATTGTTCCATTACAGAGATATCTAGAGGAGGGTTGTGATTGTTCCATTACAGAGATATCTAGAGGAGGGTTGTGATTGTTCCATTACAGAGATATAGAGGAGGGTTGTGATTGTTCCATTACAGAGATATCTAGAGGGGGGTTGTGATTGTTCCATTAGAGATATCTGGAGGAGGGTTGTGATTGTTCCATTACAGAGATATCTAGAGGAGGGTTGTGATTGTTCCAATACAGAGATATAGAGGAGGGTTGTGATTGTTCCATTATACAGAGAGAGGAGGGTTGTGATTGTTCCATTACAGATATCTAGAGGAGGGTTGTGATTGTTCCAATACAGAGATATAGAGGAGGGTTGTGATTGTTCCATTACAGAGATATCTAGAGGAGGGTTGTGATTGTTCCATTACAGAGATATCTAGAGGAGGGTTGTGATTGTTCCATTACAGATATATCTAGAGGAGGGTTGTGATTGTTCCATTATAGAAATATCTAGAGGTGGGTTTTGATTGTTCCACTAAGAGAGAAAGTTGTTCTGAATTTCTTTAAGAAGAATATAAAAACACATTTCGTTGTAATACGTTTATCAAAATTTGTCATTGTTAGTCATCATTTGTTGAATAGATAATTTGTGATTATTAATTTGTCGGTTTTCTTTCGGTCCCTGAATCGTTATAATTGATCAATTGTGCCAAACGCTCTAAAACTTAGTGACTAACGATCTTCAAATTCGAATATGAAACACTTGGCTAGTTTCGTCATGGTTGAAATGTTGGTTATACTATACAGATAATCAATGTGACCTTTTCCTGAAACATTCGTTTAAGATTATTTGTAAAACGGAACGTCTTGTATTCGTCAAAAAAATGAATCGGTGACACGAATTCCAAAGATCATGCAGCATTAGCCTTTCAGATATTTAAGAGTAAAGTGATTACACAAACTGTTGCTGTGCACTTCGTTTTTTGTTTGTCTGATTTGGGATTGAAAGGACGTTTTGTCGCTGATTACGGCAAACAACGCTTTTTAAGGAAATCTGATCGATTTATCAAACTTGGTGAATTCCTCATCTTAAGGACATTTGAAAGAAGTTTTCTCATTTGGCCTAAAGATGGGGGCATTAGCCAATAGCATTTCTCAAAATGTCAAAGTAACCCGTAAATATAAGAAAATATTTAGGATGAATCCAACAAGAATGTTGACAATAATTTTTAAAGATCTGACCTTGTGCGTTAAATATGTATTTAATTGGTATATGAGAACAATGCCAATTAGAAATACAGCTTCTTTCGCGAATTAAATATATGTCAAAAATCATTTGTGTATTTCATTCGTACAAGCAATATTTTTTTCACATTAAAATACAATATGTACTATGTTTATAACCAAATGCCAAAATTTCGCATAGCCAATCCCTTGACCATCGAGTCATTTTTCAAAACAAAAACCATATACTCCCAGAGTACTGAAAGTGTTGGAAAAATGTACACAGGTCTTATCATTTTTGATGTTTTGTTAAGCTTTTTTTATAATATTTTTTTATTTTTTATTTTTTTGGTGAATAGATATCCCATTACCCATTCGTTTGAATGAAAACACGTACTGTCAACCACGAAGAACATACCCTCTTTTTGCTATGAAGCATTATAATAAACACTTTTTGGTTTAAAATTCATGACTGGTGTTGCTCAGAATTTCGATTTTTGGAGGAATACATACAAGGGGGCGCAATCTCTTCATTTATCATTTTATACGGTAGTTGAGATAAACTCGTTTAGAATATTCATGTCTGGCTAACAGAAATGTCTTCTCATTAAGGTACTAGTGTCCGTTAAAAGAAATTCGCCACCTTCTCTGATTTTAGGGGGTAGAGAAGGTTAACTTAAAACCATTCTCACTGTTCAGTCAGTCACTGCGCTCTTGATACTTTCATAAGCTTCCACAAGGATATAAATGATGTTTTTGAAACATTTTCGTTCTTAATACAATTGTTGATATTTTACGGAATCATTTAAATAAAATTGATGAAAAAGTGTGTCACTTTTTGAAGTATTATGTGACAATAACACAAAATCAATTCACAAGTCTGACATATCTTAGTCAAAAGTAATTCCTTTTCGTTAAGAATAATATCGTGAGGCGAAAAAAGTTTTTTTTATTATTATTAGAAAACTAACTGTCATTTAAGTAACTTAATACAATTTTCTGTCCTAATTAAACGGCACTGTCATCACACCAAAAATAAATATAGGAATATCGTTTGTCATTCCGTGTATATTTTGACTTATGTTATTAAAACCAACACTTCCTGAAGAATTTTCTTCGTCAGCCATCATGCACCATGTTCTTTGTGTCTCTTTAAACCTTAATCATTAGAGTGCACCTTATGAATGACAGCCAAACACCACAAGTTGATAAAATTAATTTGTGTTTTATTACAAAGATGCCGATTTGCAGCACGTGTAAAGAATATGTATGAAAAAAAAAAATTCACAGTGTAAAGCCGTCTTCGTTGATTCTGATGTTTCCACACCATTAGACAACCATACCGCCTCTACCGCCCGCGTACAGACTGGTGGAGTCACAAGAGGATGTTTACCACTTCAGCATCAATAGTTGTAGCTAATACCACAGGTAAGGTACATTACACCCGTATTGAGAATCAAAAGGCCGACTATACTTATGGTTTGTAGGAGTTCTTGTCACAAAAACTGCTTTAAATGGGTTTAATATGACGTGCAACGGGATCAACATTCATTTCAATACGGGAGTATGTTGAAAGAACATTAAAGTGATGTCCCTGTAGCGAACCTGAAATTAAGTTTTACAAAACCATAAGCCGTATTTTGTCCCTAGTTGTGAGTGATTGTGTGAGACCCGCATGGGGGGCTCAAAACATAGATACTTACAGATCTCGTGTGCGTTTCGGCTCGCACCGGTGATCATCGCGACATACAGCTTAAATGATTTACATACTAAAGATATAAATATTTTAACGTTTGATATTCTAGGTAAACCTTACATGTATAAGCATGTTTTTGAAAGAATATGTTCTGAAGAAGATAATGCAACACCACATCATCACAATTAACTTTCTAATATATTCACACCACTGCAAGAATAACTACCGTTACCCAAGATGTATTTGCGCATGCGTATTCCATAGAGTATGTGCGGTGACGGCCCCTGGTGAGCGAAAAATCAGTCGGCGCCAGGTGCCCGGGTATGGCAGGGACGGCGTGAAGGAGAGACCTGCCCCTGGAGCTCGTGACAAGAACAGGCCAGGAACAAGTCAGTTCCATTATCATCAATATAATTACCAACAGAGGAATTTCAATAACAAAATATTTCGTATCTCAGCTGGAAAATTCAACTACTCGTTTACAAATATCCTATTTACATATTTATAGTTTCCAAATCATTTAACAACAAGTGTGAATCTGTACAGAGGAACCGAGAAAGATACTACATGGGTAGCTCTAGAAAATAACAAT